TCTCAGTCAGACCATTAAGTCTTCTCTTTTTACTAGAATTTGAGTTCTGCACATCACTTTTTCTCCTGCTCCATCAGGGACTCTCTGTTGTGTTTCCTGTCGGGGCGGTCACTGGTGGTAGCCCGGCACCATCTAGTTCTTCTGGTCTCAGGCTGATGGAGTCCCTGGTTTATATGGCCTTTTCTGTCTCTTGGGCTAATATTTTCCTTGTGTCTTTGGTGTTCTTCATTCTTCTTTGCTCCAGTGGGTTAGGACTAACTGATGCATCTTAGATGACCACTCGCTAGCTTTTAAGACCCCAGACACCCCTCATCAAAATGGGATGCAGAACATTTTCTTAATAAACTTTGTTATGCCAACTGACCTAGATGTCCCCTGAAACCATGGTCCCCACACACCTGCTCCTGCTACTCTGTCCCTCGAAGTCTTTGGTTGCACTCAGGAAACTTCTTAGCTTTTGGTTTAATCCAGGTGTGCTGACTTCTCCTGTATTGTGTGTTGTCCTTCCCTTCACCTAAGATAATTCTTATCTACTATATAGTTAGTGAATACCCCTCTCCCTCCCTCTGCACCCTCATAACCATCAAAAAATGTTTTCTTCTATGTTTAAACCTTTTCTTGAGGTCTTACAATAGTGGTCTCATATAATATTTGTCCTTTTGCTCTAATTTCACTCAGCATAATGCCTTCCAGATTCATCCATGTTTTGAGATGTTTCGCAGATTCATCGTTCTTTATGGTTGCATAGTATTCCATTGTATGTGTGTACAATAATATGTTTATCCATTTGTCTGTTGATGGGCACCTAGGTTGTTTCCATCTTTTTGCTATCGTGAACAGTGCTGCAATGAACATGGTGTGCATGTACCTATTCATGTGATGGCTCTTATTTCTCGAGGATATATTCCAAGGAGTGGGATTGCTGGATCGTATGGTCCTTCGATTTCTAGCTTTTTAAGGAAGAGCCAGATCGATTTCCAAAGTGGTTGTACCATTTTACATTCCCACCAACAATGTATATGTGTTCCAGTCTCTCTATAACCTCTCCAACATTTATTATTTTGTGTTTGGATTAGCGCTAGCCTTATTGGGGTGAGATGGTATCTCACTGTAGTTTTAATTTGCATTTCTTTAATGGCTAATGATTGTGAGCATTTCCTCATGTATCTGTTAGCCACCTGAATGTCTTCTTTGGCAAAGTGCCTGTTCATATCCTTTGCCCATTTTTGTATTAGGTTACTTTCTTTTTGTTGTTGAGGTTCTGCAGTGTCTTATAGATTTTAAAGATTAGACGCTGATCGGGTTTGTCATAGCCAAAAATTTTTTCCCAATCTGTAGGCTGTCTTTTTAGTCTTTTGGTGAAGTCTTTTGATAAGCATAAATGTTTGATTTTTAGAAGCTCCCATAAACTAAGGATAAATTTTTGATTCATCAAAATTGATTCTTAAATGAATACAGTGAATTTTAAGTAAAGTGAGCTTCCTTTTCAGTACCTTTTCTGAAAAAAAAAAAAAAAACTGTATATGTTCATAAAATACACACAGTATAAGCAGTAATTTTTACTTAAACGGTTCTTTGCTTGCCATGAGGTAAATGACATTTTCTCATAACCATAGCAGGTTTTCTTGTTAGTTTGGAAAATTGGGCAACTTTAAAAGCAAATTCAATAGGTGTGTGTTTTACTTTTAGGGAAAAACTGAAACAAATGAATCTTACTCTAAAGATATGTTGCTATACAACTTAGGTTTTATATGAATGTTTATCCTGCTTTTATTCCACAGCTTATTAGAAATAAGTTGTTTTCCAGTTTCTTCTATAGTGATAATTTGATCTTATTTGTGTTCTTATTGTTGACACATTAAAAAAAAAAACAAAAACAAATCCCCATCACTCAATTAAATACCTATGCCCCTTCTAACCAAGAAAAAACCGAACCCATTGTCACTGAGTCGACTTCGACTCATAGTGACCCTACAGGACAGAGTAGAACTGCCCCATAGGGTTTCCAAGGAGCAGCTGGTGGATTCAAACTGCTGACCTTTTGGTTAGCAGCTGAGCTCTTAACCACTGTACCACCAGGGCTCCATGCCCTTTCTAGTCACTTAATTTTAGTTTCTGTAAAATGGCATAATAAGTTTGAAAGAAAATATCTTTTAGCCAACTTAGCATGATACCTCATTAGTTTCACAGTTCTACTTTTTTCATTAGATCAAGTTTGAATGAGTAAATTTAATGAAATTAAATACTCTTAAAACCAAACCAAGTATGCTTTATAATTACAAGCGATGAAAACAGTCAGACTTTAGAAGCTTACTTTGAGGAGAAACAACGCTGACGACTGCTTGAGAAAACTCTATTTGCTATTGGTTCTCGAATACTGAAAAGTATTTTTGGTTCCTCTGGACTGTAGAGCAGTGATTCATTATACTCATTTGTTACTATAAAGAAAAACACCCCAAAATATTAGCACATTCAATGAAAGATGGTCACTTCTGAGAGGTGCAATACAAAAAAAAAGATGCTATCCCCAATTTAAAAGCAGCTGTATTCCAAAGGTCTGTTTTGTAGCAAGTGTAACACATATTCCATAAAAAACTTATAAATGAGGATTAGGTTCCAGATTAGCCCACAAAAGCCTACATCAACCACAATATAGCAGAAATAGGTACACTTTGGCCGGGGGCGGGGGGGATAAAGACTATACTAACTACAAAGCTAATAATTTAAAATAGAGGAACTAGTTGTTGTTAATTGCCATTGAGTCAATTCCGAGTCATGGCAGCCCCACGTGTGCCACAGGGTTTTCAATGGCTGTGATATTTTCAAAGCAGATCACCAGAGCTTACTTCCGAGGTGCCTCTGGGTGGGTTTGAACTGCCAACCTTTAGGTTAATTGTCCAGTGCATAACTATTTGTGCCACCCAGGGACTCCGGAGGAACTAGTTTGAGGCATACAAAACTGGAACTTGAGTTGCCATATTTTCCTGCCAAGTTCTTTTCAAAATACTATGTCAAAGATTTCATAACTATAATTTTATGTTAATATTCTTGGTATAAAATGCAGTCTCAAACATTAACAAGCAATATGCTTTCTCCAATGAAACTGCCATTGCTCAAGGCATTTTTTTACAGCAAAGCACAAATTGGTTAAAGACAACTGTACAAAGAAATCAAGCATGAAAGAAAGTTTAACTGAGCAACGTATTAAAAGAAATTACAAAAATTTAAAAAATATATATAAAAAGAAGTATACACACACACATACACACACATACAGAAATTATAAGATTGTTAGATAATCTACCTTATTTACCAAAGTTGCATTTGAATCAGCTGGCTGTTTAAAAAAATTTTATTCATCCTCAAAAATAAAACTTTGCCTCCTTGGGAACACACACAAAATGTGCTAGCTCTGAAGGAAACTTCAAAAGAGTAGTTCCAAAATGTGTATAACGGTGATTGCACCATCGTCATTCACTACTGCTTCTGAAGATAGTCAAATCTTCAAAAGAATGATATTCATTCAGAAGTAAAGCTCTAGTATGTTTATTATGAGAAAAATCAACCACTATATTTTGTATATGCACTTAATTTATATACTTGATAAAAATGTCAGTTGTTTTACATACTATAAGTTACATTATATAATGAAGCATCAATTACTATAAGGTGCTTAATTTTCCTTTCTTTGATACAGATTTAATGCTAATGCTAATTTATAAGCCAAGATTAAAATAATCTTTTAGGTCTCAAATTGAGAGAGAGAAGAGTCCATTTTAGAGAACTGAAAGGGACTTTAGAAATTCAGTCCTGCTTTTAAACTATTTTAGATGCAAACTATTCCCCTAATAAAGCAAGTCTTATGTGGACATCCAATATATAATACATGTAAATAAACTGACGCTGTTAAAACACTTTATCAGGTTCAAATGTATTGCTGACTCATTTTAAAGGGAACCAATCAGTAAAGAGGATGTTCCGATAACAGTTTGTGTTTATGTATGACAGTTACAGTTCTGTATGAGTTGATATTCACTTTGGTTTGGTTGTATATGTTGAGAAAAATCCTTCCTTAGGTAGGTAAATGCAACTATAAACAGGTTTGGGTGTTTTTTGTTTTTCTAACAATTTACCTTGAAATTTCATGATGTACTTCATTAAACAGAGATAGCAAGAAAAGTTTTAGTTTGAGGTCTGTACAAAAATGATCTTGGTAGATGAGTGGATTCTAGTGTTAAAATTTGATACACAAATCAAATGAATGTGTTTTTCAATTTAAGAATTTAAATATCTTTTAAAAATAAATTTTAAAGAATACATTTGCAGAACCCCTAAGCACCAGCGATCTACTTCAACTCCCTCATTTTACAGCTAAGCAGGAAGGAGAGGTGTGGAGGATTACAGTCTTGCCCAGAGTTTCACTGTGAGTGACTGGAACTCAGGTTCCAAAATACCCTGGTCAGTATTCTTTCTCCCACAACGATAGTTCTCCTGAAGGAACCCTGAAATAACGGCACAAAACTAAGCAGGAGAAGGTTAAAGAGAACATTTGAGTGAACATGAGGTCAAGCATTCACAGCTCAGTGAACCCCATCTCAGTCAGAGGATATTAATGGTGCACCAAGTTGAGACACTGCATTTCCTATTTGTCAGATGTGCATTTTTCTATCACCCAAGACATGTCTGCAGTTACACCATTTAGACAAGAGTTTATACTGTGACAAAAATCACAATATAAAAGTCCATCTTTAAACTTTATATTGTTAAAATATATTTAAAGGGATATTATATTGAAAACCATGTTTGAGTCAAAAGAAGTGTTTATACTTTGCTAATAATTAGACAAGTACACCCCCACAATATTGTCAAAATGGATATAGATTCCAATTTAAATATTAGTGATTATCATCATTTATTACCAACCTTTCTCTACCAATTCTCTGTTCAATGGAAAACACAAACTTCCTTGTTTTTTTGCTATTGGAAGAGGAAAAGGAGAAAGCATCTTGATTAAATAAAATATTTTATAACATATAATAGATAACATATATATATTATGTAAGACCCAAACCAAACCCATTGCCGTTGAAGTCGATTCCAACTCATAGCGACCCTATAGGACAGAGTAGAACTGACCTATAGGGTTTCCAAGGAGCGGCTGGTGGATTCGAACTGCTGACCTTTTGGTTAGCAGCCCAACGCTTAACCAATGCACCACCAGGGCTCCACATATTATATAGCATATTATAAATATATTAAAACATATAATAGCTATTTTGGTACTCACCAATATTTAAAATATCTTCCACAGCCTGAGTAGCAACCCTGTTAATATTGAATGACCTAGAAACAAAAACCAAACAATTATTTGTTTTAATTCTAAAAACATGCTAAAAATAAAAAGGAATAATCTACTTAATGCAGAAAGAACTCTTATAAATGATCAAGAAAAAAAAAACAACCAAAAGACAGTAGCCACCCCACCCGATTTTTAAAAAATTAGCAAAGGACATGACAAACAGTTCATAGGTTGTGGTGCAGTGAATTACTTAATATGGTCCTTCATAGTCTTTGTGACTACCACACAATGATGGGTGGAATTACATAAATAAAGTACTTGTGACCCACAAGGGGACTGGACAGCTTGCTGCTAATGCAAATAAGGTGTCTGGAACCCTAGTGAGGGGATCAGTCAGTTTTGTCATTCCACTAGGCTTAAAATGAGCCATCTCAGAGGCAGAAAAGGGTGACCTCACTACCACCAAGAAGACATGGGAGCGAAGCGTGTCCGTTGGACTTTGGGTCCCTGTGCTGAGAACCTCCTAGACCCATGAGACAGAGAGAGAGAGAGAGGGCTGTAACACTGGAGATGGTGCAAGACGGCGAGATGTGGTAGCAGAGAAATGGCAGCAGCAGAACCAGGAGACTGGCGCGAGATGGCACAGTGGGTTTCCAGGCCCACAGAGCAAGGTGGTTACAGCAGGTATGCCGATCCACAGAGCTAGAGAGCTGAGCGCCTTCAGGCAGGAGGCTTCCTGGTGGAGTGGGGTGCCTTTGGGAACTTGTTAGTGAAGCTAGGCTTGCTGACCCATGGAGTGAGAGCTGAGCACCTTTGGGCCGATGCTCACTGGCAAAGTGGGGTGCCCCGGGCACTTATTGGTGGAGCTAAGGAACTTTGTAACACTTGCCTGAGCAAGAAAGAGGCCAGGCCGACCCGAGGGGCCAAAAGCTGAGAAGCCAAGGCTAGAGAGAAGCTGCCTTGACTGAAGAACTGTATTCTGAGTCGTTCCTGAAATGAATACTCCTAAATTGTTTCTGATCCTCTTACTTTCCTAATAAACCCCATAATCGTGAGTATTGTCTGAGTTCTGTGTGGCCACTGCAGCTAATTATCAAACCTAGCAGGGAAGGAGACAGTGCCTTCAGAGGGACGGCTGCTGTGAGAATTGGTGAAAATGTTGGAGGGTGGAGATAATGTCTAACCTCCACCTCATAGCAAACAGCCTTGGGTTGTTGATCCTGATTCTCTCTCCTCCCCATCCTGAAATTAGAGGAGGTCAGATGCCTCCACTATGCCTCCATTTTTACACAGGCTTATATGAAAAATATTCTCAATCTTACTCATAACTAAGCACATAGAAATTAAAACTTTTTTTCTCAGATTTGCAAGGATTAAAACTGATAAACATAGTATTAGCATGGATATGGGGGCAAAAGTATTCTTATACACTGGTAGTAAGTAGGAAGGCAATTCTGCACTATCAAAATTTAGAGTGAATATATTCTTCCATATAGTAGTTTATCCTAAAATATAACTGCACATATAATACACAGAAATGTCAAGGATATTTACTGAAGCACTGTTCATAATAGCGAAATAAGTCAAATATCCGTCCATAGGAAGCTGGTTAAATAAACTATAACTATTCAACGAATACTATGTAGATATTAAAAAGAATAAAACAGAACAGTATGTGCTGATATAAAAAGAGAATCAAATGGTAAGTTAAAAAAAGGCATTGTATGAATAATGTATATATTATTTCCCTGTTTATTTTTTTTTTAAAGAATTATACATATATATGGCGTTTGTGTCTGGAGATTAGTACTGGAGATATGAATGAAAGGGAGACTAATTTTTCACTGTATACATTTTTATACTATTTAACATATTTTTAACGTGTATTTCTTTAAATATAAAATAAATAATTGTCTTGAAAGTGAGAAATGCTTTACCTGTATATATCTTGATTAAACACTTAAAAATAACTAACAAAAACTTGAATAACTCTTGAAAATAGCTCTGTCCCAGGGTCTATAGAGAGGGTAAAGGAAAGGTTTTTTTAAAAAAAATTCTTCCAGGTAATTTAGAATTCTTCTGGTACCTCATAACTCTTCTCACACTGGTCTCAACAGAAAATCCCAGTGAAACTGGAATAACAGAATAAGTCATGCAACTCTAAACCTGAATCATTTGGCTTTCACTTTTTGAGGAGGGGGAATAAAAGATACTCCCTCTACCCTTCTAACTCCCATTTTGAGAAATGTGAAAAAATTTTGGACATTCTCCTAGGAAAAACGCAAATACTCAAAATTTTACATTAAAAATTTGACATCATTCACAGGCCAAATCCCTGTGCTAAAAAATCTTAAGATCTGGCCCTTGCCTATTCCATTTTCAACATTATCTGCCCTCCAACTTCACATTCCAACCACACCAAGCTGAGTCCTGCCTCCAGACATTTTCTCCCACTTACTAGCTGTCTGGTACACAGCCAAATACTTTAAAGTGTCCTGACTTACTTATTCTTTAGTATGATGTTAACAATATCTGTACGTCATTAATATTACTGTTATACTACAAGATTTAGGGCACTACCTAGCTCATGGTAAAGAACTCAACATTGAATGAAAAGGTCAAACGCAAGGGATACTTATGAATTATATTCAAATTCCTCTTAACATCCACATTATTGGAAGATATTCTTTTGGAATTCTCCTTACATTAAAAATCTAAAAGTCATATAAAAATGAGCTACATTTACTAGGGTTCTGTTGAATTAAAATACACAGTTGAAAGGCAAAGTATTTTAGTGACTAGTATCTCCTTATAGTAGTAAGGCTTGATTTAAGACAACAAAAGTCTTAATGGACTTGCTCTGATATTCCTAGAACTATGACCTATTAGCAATGTTATAAATTAACTCAAACTAAGCATGATCCATAAAAGAAAAAAAAAAGTTAAGCTGGACTTCATTAAAATTAAAAACTGCTGTGCAAGGACACCATTAAGAGAATAAAAGGACAAGCCACAGACTGGGAGAAAACATTTGCAAAACACATATGCGATAAAGGACTTGTATCCAAAATATACAAAGAATTCTTAAAACTCAGCAATAAGAAAACAAACTACCCAACTAAAAAGTGGGCAAACAATCTAAACAGATACCCTGCCAACGAAGATATACAGGTGGCAAATAAGCGTATGAAAAGGTGCTCCACATCATACATCATTAGGGAATTGCAAATTAAAACAACAATCAGATACCACTGCACACCTATCAGAATAGCTAAAATCCCAAACACTGACACCACCAAATGCTGGCAAGGATGTGGAGCAACACAAACTCTCATTCATTGCTAGTGAGAGTGCAAAATGGTACAGTCACTTTAGAAGACAATTTGGCATTTCTTATATACCTAAACATAGTCTTACCATGCAATCCAGCAATTATGCTCCTAGGTGTTTACCCAAATAAGTTGAAAACTTATGTCTACACAAAAACCTGCACACAAATGTTTATAGCAGCTTTATTCATAACTGCCAAATAATTAGAAGCAACCAAGATATACTTTAATAGTGAATGGATAAACTATGGTACATCCATACAATGGAGTATTATTCACTGATAAAAGGATATGAGCTATCAAGCTATGAAAAGACAGAGGAACTTTCTTTTTTCTTCTTTTTTTTAGTTGTGCTGATTTCCTCCGTATTGTGTGTTGTCTTTCCCTTCACCAAAGCTGACACTCTAAATGCATACTGTTAAGTGATAGAAGTCAGTCTGGAAAAGCTACATACTGTATGATTCCAATTAAATGACACTCTGAAAAGGCAAAAGTATAGAGATAGTAAAAAGATCAGTGGTTACCAGGGACTCAGGGGAAGACGAGGAGGGATGATTAGGTGAAGCACGGGACACTTTTTGGGCAATGAAACTATTCTGTATGATGCTGAAATAGCGGGCACATGACATTAGGCATTTGTCAAAAACCATTAGAACCCTAATGTAAACTACGGACGTAATAATAATGTATCAATATTGGTTCATCAATCGTAACAAACGCAACACACAAATGCAAGATGTTAATAATAAGAGAAACACTGTGCAGAGGAAGAGAGGGTATACTGAACTCTGTGTACTTTCTGCACAATTTTTCTGTAAGCCTAAAACTGGTGTAAAAATTAAAGTCTAACAAAAAATAAATAATATGGGAAGAAAGGAGATGGGAAGGGATACAGAGGAAACTAGATAGGGCATAAGTTGATAATTAGTGAAAGTGGCTAACAGGACATGGGATTCATTATACTACTTTGTGTACTCTTGTATATTTTTAAAATTTTACATAATAAAGTGCTTTTAAAAGACAATGCTAATCTAATTTATAGCTAACAAACCAAAAACATGAAATAAATCTCCAAATTAAACGATCCAAACTTAAAGTTAGTTTAATAATCACTATTTTAGCTGTATTTGTAAGCATATAATCATTTATTCAAAAAATATTTGAATGAGTATGTATTAGGTACTGTGCTATGCAAAGATGTCACTTTGAGGACTAAGGTGTACCTGACCCAAGCCATGGTGTTTTCAATTGCCTCATATGCATGCAAAAGCTGGACAATGAATAAGGAGACCGAAGAAGAGTTGACACCTTTGAATTATGTCGTTGGCAAAGAATACTGAATATACCACGCACTGCCAGAAAAATGAACAAATCTATCTAGGAAGAGTACAGCCAGAATGCTCCTTAGAAGCAAGGATGGTGAGACTTTGACTTACGTACTTTGTGGACATGGTATCAGAAGGGACCAGTCATTGGAGAAGGACATCATGCTTGGTAAAATAGAGGGTCAGCGAAAGAGGAAGATCCTCAAGGAGATGGACTGACACAGTGGCTGCAATGATGGGATCAAGCACAGCAAGTATTGTGCAGATGGCACAGGACTAGACAGTGTTTCATTCTGTTGTACATATAGTCTCCAGGAGTTGGAACTGACTTGACAGCACCTAACAACAACACTGTGCTATGCACACTAAAAAATTAAGCAGGGAGAAAAAGCCACTAGTTACCATCCCACACCATTCAAGTTGCTCAGACTACCTGGGTCCACAGATAACTAATAATGTGGTAAGTGCTATAATAGTACCATGAGAAAAAGTGTTGGGGAGGACAAAAAGGGATTAATTAATTGTGCTTACGAAAGAAACTGGGTCCTAGTAAAGATTTCCTAAACAGAATGACATTTGAAGACTGGATTTTTCATGCAGTGGATGGAAAGTGGAGAGTGTTTAGGCATTTAAAGCAGGAAGAAGTTGTATTGAGCAAAAACAAAAAGCCGAGAAAAAACATGGTGTGCGCTAAGACTTGCAAGTAGCCTGCAGTATCTCCAGTACGCTCATGGGTAGGGGCTGTGCAGGAGTAAGGCTGCTAAGGTAGCATAGGTCATATTATAAAGGGCCTTGTATGACAGGCTGAGCGATCTGAACATAGGCAGGTGTAAATGAAAGAATTAAAGCACAGAAGAAATATAGTCAGAATTATCTACATTTTAGAAATACTACCCTGTTGGTAATGTGGATGATAGCCCAAAGAATAAAGGGAGAGGCACAAAGAACAGTCACTAAAAAGATTGGCGCCTGGACTGAAGCAGCAGCAGTAGAAACTGAAAAAGGGGGCAGAGACTTCAAAATTCAATGGACAGAACTGAGAGACTGGCATGTGTGGAGGTTAAGGATGGGGAGACTCAACGTAGAGCAAGGTTTTGAGGAGTAGTGTTTTTCTCTCTAGAGCATAGAGTCACGATAAATAGTGATGCTATTAAGCAATATAGGGAACACAGGAAGAAAAACTGAAGACAATAAATTCCGTTTTGAATGTGCTGAATCTGTAGTGCTATTAACAACCTATCTAGCAGGTTAGTTTAGAATGAGTTTGTACTCAGGAGAGAAGACATCTGCATACATATACCAGAAGTAGAGAGACTAGCCGGGGAGAGGTTACAGAGTAAGGAGGATACAGGAAGCCCCAGGCTATCTCAAGTTAAGCCTTTACTGCACAAATCTCCAGCATATCTTTTGTATTGTACTTTGTATCTATTTATTATTATTTAAAATATTCTTCACTTTTAAAAAATATTTATACAGCCCCCAAAACTATTTATTTTATTTCTTTTTAAACCTAGTGTAGTAGGCTCAATAATGATCAAATAATGACCAAACCCAGGCTGCAGTTATAATCCAAGAAGTCAAGGCAGGACTCTTGGACCCAATCAATGAATGAAACAGAAACCGAGCCAACCTACATAACGACACCAGGTTACCGCTTGAGTGTTAGAGGCCTTAGATATACCAGTATGAGATATTGAGTAAATCACATTACTGAAAATATTTCACAAAAGTTGATAAGCAACATCTCAAGTTACTTACCAGGCCTTTGATCCTGTTCCAGTACACAAATTGAGTCCCGAACTCTTCTGTTTTTCCCACGGACCATCATCAACTGAAATCTCATAGTAGGAAGCCCTGTGAATTAAGAATATAAAAACTGGGTTCGCAGAGCTTATAGTTCATAATAAAAAGTTCTTCAGAACTGATGAAACCTAAGTAAGCTGGTTTGCCTAAGACATACCTAACTTAGTAAGCACACGCATCATGATGCTAATTCCAATATTAAGTGAAAAAGTTTAAAAAAAAAAATCTTCCACATGCTCCTCTGATCTATATGCTCCTTTCTACCAATACTTAAACATTTCAAACAAGGGCTTCTTGTAAATTTTTGGCTAGCATTGCTGCTACTGTTTTTATGGAATCTAACACACACAGAGCCTTATTTTAGAATTCAAAAAGAAGGTACCACTCTTAGGTGAGTTTCATTCTTGGAAGCTAGTCCTTGATATACCTAAGTCTATATCTAATCCTTTAAGTTACACATTAATGTGCCTTTGAATTGGCAGTAAGCTAACAGAGATAAGATAATAAAGGTCTAAAGAAAATTCTCAACTAGCACTGGGGTAGTGGACAAAACTAGGAATAAAACTAGACCTCTACATTTCTTTTAAACATTATATTTCTTAAAAGAGTATTTCATAAATATGGAATTAAGTGGGTTTTCTGACACCATCAAAAATGGTACTATTCTTTAACTCTATGAATGTGTAAATGATTTATAACTGTTCAAAGAACTTTTGAAACATGAAAAAGCCTATTTTGTAAGCTGTATGTTAAAATAACAGTGTGACAGAAAAACACTGGATTTTTTTTTCCTCCATCAAATTAACCTCAACAAAAAAGTTAAAATAAAACCCTTAATAAAATACAGCTTTTCAAGCTAATGACAACTATTAGACATGCTTGCAAACACTATGTGGATAATTTATCTCTTACTCTAACCCTTTCAATTTCTCCTGTAAGCACTCAATTTATAAAGGCTCTACATGATAAAACTCATTTTCTTCCTCTTAAGCCAGTATTCTTTATAAAAACAAAAGCTAGCAGGACCTAATATTCACATTTAATCTACTTCATAGCTTTGTTACATCTTCCTAGAAAATGCACATTAGAAACCTATTATAAACAGACAAGCCAGCCAGCTCCATGGTAATGGCTGCTATTATTTCAGAATCAAGTAGGAACAAAAGAGATTAGAAGTGAGTGGGAATAGAAGAGAAGCAGAGGTGGAGAGGAAGAAGTATACAGACAGGCAGAAAATGTTGAGCCCAAAACATTGAGCAAACTTAGTGTCATTCTCACATGCAGGTTTATCAGAGATTAGTCAACTCAAAGAATTTGTATCAGGGAAATTATTTTTTGAAGGCAGCAATAAAACTCACAGTCCCTTTAGAGTGGGTATACTTCTTCTTAAATTGTCCACTGCTACAGCCCAAGAATAAGACATTCTAGGTTAGAACAAATAGAAGAAAAGAAAACAACAAAAACAATTGGGCTTTTAAAATGTTCTTAAATCTAAGAACATTACAAACGAGGCAGGAATAATATTGCTGCATTTCATATTTTCCAAGCAAAGCACTTAAGTTCTCAGAGTGTGGTGAAGCCTCAGTACAGGATCTGATCAGACATACTAGGTTTGTTTGATAGCTTTAATGCTAACTAATGACATGACCTTGGACAGGTTATTTGAACTCTCTGAATCTCCATTTTTTTCACTGATAAATAAACTACCTTACTCATGGGGTGTCTATGAACATTAAATGAGAGAGTATACACAATATCCACAGTGCCTGACACATAGCAGGCATCCAGTAAATGTTTTTTCCTTTCTGCCTAAGGGTCTATGTCACGGAATCTTCAAAATTAAGTTCTCATGCCTCTAGTAATGAAACCTTTTTCAATAGCATAAAAAGCCAACATACTGCTGTCCTTTTCATAGTAAAGACATAAAGTGAAGCATCAAAGGACACCAAACAAGCAGCAGCAGTCACTGAACAGGAGATCAACCAACCAAAGCACTACTGCCACAGAAATAAAGCATTCAATATAAAATCCCCTAATAACACTTCACTGAATTCCCCAAAGTCTATTAACTGATCCCAGTTTTCTTCCTTTTATAAGTTATTTAATTTTTTAGTAAGTACAAATTATAAAGCAATGCTAGCAGAAGCACTCAGCAGTTAATGATATAACTTTCAAACTATGCAAACAGAATAATATAGGCCATTAAATGGCTTGTGTTGAGTAAGCATAAACTTAAAATGTTTTTACCTTTGTCATCTATTTGTTTTAATGTAGACTTTTTACCTTAGAAAGTTGTTGCTTTCTTCTGTCTTTAGCAATAATGACTAGATTATATCACTAGAATTACATTTTCTTCCTTCTCTATTACATAAAAATATCCATTATTTATCTCCATATTGCTTCAGATTTGATGTGTAGCAAAAGAAAAAAATACATATAGTATGTCTTATGTTAAAATAAACATATTTTTTACACTTTACTATATTTGTTTCCTTTAATGAATAATTTTTTAATTTTATTTCTTTGAAGAATAAATGCTAATATTAACAATTTTTTAAAGTGTTTATTTTACTACCCCACATATTAAACTAGCACTACACTTACACATTGCACACAGCAGGTGCAAAATCTATTTTTGTTGAATAAATTTAATATTATTTAAGTCAAAATAATTACAACTCAAAAAGATTGTTCAAATCGTTTTGCTGAATCAGGTTTGTTCTTTTCAATGTTACCTAAGTATTTGGCTAGAATACTAATATCTTTTTTAGTTAAGGTAAATTTTTCTCATAATTATTTATGAACGGATATGACTTGCAGCAAACACAATTTCAGGATGTATGAAATTCTCAGTAAACTAGTGAATCAACTACATTGCCTTCAAAGGGTCAGATGGTTCCTGTAGCAGCAGGGATAGAGACTTGTCTCTAATTTTCACCCCTAATTTAGTTAAATCTACAAAAACGAGAACATAGGTTCTAAAATAATAATAAAATTTTAACCTTACATTATAGTAGACATTTGATATTTGGTAACTAATTTCACACAAAAGTTTTACAAAGAAAAATTTGTTTACAATTTAAGCATAAGTTATATCTCACTCCCACAAAACAGATTTTATCAGTAATAAAACATATACTACCTTTTATATTCCTCATGAGGAACTCTATTAACTTTAATATTTGTTTATAATAGTTACAAATCATCAACTGTCAATGCACTTGCCTTACGATGTGCTGCATTAAGAAGGTTACAACATCATCTATGTAGTATTCTTGCCAAAATTGTTTAGTCTGAATCTTACCATGCAGAGAAAAAAAAATCATACAAATCTAAAATAAGGGATATTATGCAAGAGAATTTGCTTGGACCATTCAAAATATTAATATCATGAATGACAAAAAAGAGGATAGGGATTAAGGAACTGTTCTTAACTAAAGAATTCTAAAGAGCCATGCATGATGACCAAATGCAATGTGTGATGCTTAATAGGATCCTGGATAAAAACAAGCAAATAAACAAATCCGCTCTAAGAGACATTATTAAGAAAGTTACTAGGGAAATTTTAATATGAACTGCCTATAAAAATTTTACCAATTGCAAATGTATGCCTAGTGTATCACTCTCTTAAACATTTATAAGGCACCTATATGATAGATTAAAGGCTCTGGGAAATACTGCAGTAAAGAAATCTGAATAACTTTCATAATTTTTTTTTTTTTTTGGTTACAAAACCCTCTTTCCTCTTAACATGTATTAAAGTGTACAAAGAGTTTGGAAATATTTTCATTAGATTACTCACAACTCTTAGCCAGGTTGTAGAAGTTGAATAAATATCCAAAAAATACTAAAACATCAAATTCCAAACTTAAGAGCTCCAGTTCAAAAGTACCTGGATGACAGACTCTCCCCAATGAAGACTTCATTTAGTGCTCTCACTGGCAAAAGCTGAGGTCCTGAAGCTAGAGACCCTGCAGGTAAAAAATCCAAGATATCGCCTTGAATTTTAGAAATATTATAAATGTTATAAAACAGTAAAACTTTTATACATTTTTGTTTTAATAGAATCATATACTTTGAAGTAATTAACAAATAAATAACTTTTATTCAAGTATTTAAAATATAAACCTTAAAGTCACATAATGTTACACCTTCAATGGAAGCCTCTGTCTCTCCGACATAAAACTTAAATCCTTTTAAAAAACAACTGCCTCTTTTGCCATGAGACCAGAAGAATACTGATCAAAAGGGGGTAAAGTGCAGAAACAGAATTTCAAATTCTCATGGAATCCAGACTTTCTGCAATCACTGAGGCTGGAATTGACCAAGCACTTCCAAAGGTGAGCCATTTTGGATTTAAACAGCAAATTATATACATGACTTACACTGGAAATTATATCGTATATGTTAGAAATGAGTATATTTGTCTTTTCAAACAGAAATTATATATGTTCAGATATTTATATACATTACATCATCCAATATTTTCAGAAAGATAATCCACTATTTCATGGTTAAAAATACTAAAGACTCTGTGGGGATATATGCCATTTAAACATGGCTGCACTATTGACAACTGCAGCTCCCACAGGCCTCTACGCTGCACAGCATGTTGAGACTTGTCCGCAACATGTTGAGACTTGTCACGACTTGTTTTCCCAAACCTACTGTCCCATTACTGATTGGCTTGTTTACCTGAATTCCTTCTCCCTTGCCCGAAACTTATTGTTACTCACCCAAAGCCCACTGTTCTGTTATTTGCTTCACTGCTTGCTGTATTGACTATAAATAAACTGCTGGGACTGAAGCCGAGGGTCAACTCCTCAGAGTGACCCTCCTGGCCCCACTTCTCTGTAAGAGTTGTGTTTGGTTACTGTCTCCGCTGTCCCGACATTCGCGGCCGCTGCGACAAGACTCATTAACCAGTTTAACATATAAAAGACTAAATTGTATTGGTTTAAATTTGTAGAGCTGTATTTGAAAGCAAAAACAGCATTCACTACAAAAGTAAGGATGGTGAATAAATGTAAAAAATCAATTATATTTAGAGTGAGAATTATTTCTAATTAAAGAAAAGCAAACTTTGATTTGTCTTCCAATGCTTTAAGAATTTAATGTAATCTGACTATGTTTCAAAAAGGTAAAGCAAGTTGTTAAAAAGTAGTGAGACGGTTAGCCATTTTTTTTTCTAAGTGACTGAAAAGGAAAAATGGAACAGATCCTGACAGAGAATCCTAGATATACTGGGATTATGAATTTATTAACTACGACATTGTTAGGCTCAGAAGACTAAAGATGGCTACACCACAGTGCTAAGGCACCAGGTAATGACAGGTGAAGACTGAATCACAAAGAAATCCTGAGGATTACCTTGAGGTTCTGCCTTCCCCTATCCTAAATCATGAAGGTATTTTCTAATATTTTTATGAGTTCATATTTCACATTTAACTCTTTCCATCTATGAAACTTATTTTGGAGTAAGAATTATAAAGGAGGGATTTAATTTAATTTTATTCTTCAAGTGATTGGTCAGTGTTCCAACACCATCTGTTAAATGATCTATCCTTTCTTTATTGATTTGAAATGTCACATTTATCTGATACTAAACTTGGATCTACTTCTGCCTAATCTTGGTGCTAGAGTTAAAACTGCTATACTGTATAATGATCTATGCCTGAATATCTCACCACACACATACACACACACACCCTTTCTTCACAGTTAAAAATAACCTAAAGTATACTGTCCCGTCCTAACTTCTTAGCGTGGTATCTATGATCTAGTCCAGAACTTGTTCTACTCTCCACTCCTACTCTATTACTAACACTTGATATCTTGAGAGTCTTTTGTCTACGACTTTGGGGAAACAGTTGGTACAACCTAAAATGCTCTTCTTCTCTATTCTATGCTTACAGAAATTCTATTCATGCTCTAAAGCCCAATTCAAAACATACCTCTTCTTTCTCCGACCCCCCCTAAAGACCAATCATACGTCTTCCCATATACTCATAAAACCCATTGCTGTCAAGTCAATTCTGATTCACAGCAACCCTGCGGGACAGAGTAGAACTGCCCCAGAGAGTTTCCAAGGCTATGATCTTTACAGAAGCAGACTGCCACATCTTTCTCCTGTGAAGCTGCTAGTGGGTTTGAACCATCAGCCTTTTGGATAGCAGCTAATGTTTAACCACTACACCACCAGGGCTCCTTATACCTGTCACCATTGATTCCAACTCATAGCGACCCTGTAGGACAAAGTAGAACTGCCCCATAGGGTTTCCAAGGCTGTAATCTTTACAGAAGCAGACTGTCACATCTTTCTCCTCCGAAGCTGCTGGTAGGTTCGAACTGCCAAACTTTTGGTTAGCAGCCAAGTGCATAACAACTATACCACCAGGGCTCCTTCCTTATACTCATAGCACATCTATATTTAGTACTTAATTAGCATTGTATTATCATCAGTTGTTTTTGTATCTGTTTCCTCCACCAGGCTGTAAGCTTTTTAAAGTCAATCACTCTAATCCTCAAAGTATCTAGCACAGATTTTACATAATAAACACCTCTAAAATGGTTATAAAATTAGAGTTACTACCTTTCTACCTGCTGGTAAAGTGCTTCATTCATTGAAAGATGGTTAATTAACAATTATACCTTGACTTTCCTGGCCTTCAAGCCAACATGTTCTTACAAAAAGCAACCAAAAAGTCTGCCTTCTGCCTCTGTGATGGTTAAGGTTATGTGTCAACTTGGCTAGGCCATGATTCTCAGTGATTTGGCAGTTATGTAATGATATAGTTTGGCAATTATATAATGATGTAATTTGGCAGTTATGCAATGATGTCGTTAGCCTCCATTTTGTGATATAGTAATCACTTCCACAATGTGATCTGATGTGATCAGCTTATCAGTTGTAACGGGATTTTCTGTGGGGGTGTGGCCTGCATCCTATATATACGGACATTCTGGAAAAGCTTGCTGGCTTTTGCTCACTCTGGATCCTGCATCTGGCTTATCATCTGACCTCTGATTTTTGGGACTTGAGACAGCAGCTTGCCATCTTACCTGCCAGTCTTGGGTTTGTCAGACCCTGCAGATACATGAGTCCAGAGAAACCCTCCAGCCTGATGCCTGACCCACAGACTTGGGACTTGCAAGCCTCTACAACCTCATAAGCCATTTCCTTGAGATAAATCTCTCTCTCTAAATATATATATATATATATATATATACATACACATATATATAATTGTTGTTGTTGTTAAATGCCATCCAGTGAGTTCCGACTCATAGAGACCCTATGCGCAACAGAACGAAACACTGCCCAGTCTTGCGCCATCCTCACAATTGTTGCTATGCTTGAGCTCACTGTTGCAGCCACTGTATCCATCCACCTCGTTGAGGTTCTTCCTATTTTTCGCTGACCCTCTACTTTACCAAATACGATGTCCTTCTCCAAGGACTGATCCCTCCTGCTAACGTCCCAAGTATGTGAGACATAGTCTCGCCATCCTTGCTTCTAAGGAATATTCTGGTTGTACTTCTTCGAAGACAGATTTGTTCCTT